CTCTCTCTCTCTCTCTCTCTCTCTCTCTCTCTCTCTCTCTCTCTCTCTCTCTCTCTCTCTCTCTCTCTCTCTTGCGCGCGCGCGCGCACGCACACTCTCGCCCCCCGCTGGTGCTGCCGTTTCAAGGCAAGCACTAGTCCATTCAAGCCTGGAAGCTAGAATTCGGGATACCTTGGAAACCATAGAATGCATCGCCGTGAACAGCATCAGTTGGAATACACCAGTTGATCAAAACTCTCTCTCACATGTTAGGTCTGTCCACAGACGCACTCTCTTCCCTAAAGCTATGGCAGCAGTGCCGCCTCTGCTCTACAAACGGATTCTGCTGAGCTGCTGATTCCCTGCCCAGTTCAGCCGGGTGCAAGGTAGTCTTCTTCAGCAAGCCACGCCTGCTTAGCTATTTTGGTGCCTAGCCTATTCTCCTAATTCTGCCTGCACAGAGTAGTCTGCTCCAGTGCGCGAGCTCCAGCATCAACTCGCCCAGAAACCAAACTGGGGCAGGGCCTTCTTTTGTAGTTGTAGCTCATCCTTGGCCGGCCTCAGGTTGCCTCCTCGAAAGGGCTGGGAGTTTTTGAGTCTGTGTGGCCAGGATCTTCTTGCAACCTGTGCGCTTGATCCCAGTGAGTCTGCACTTCTCTGGAAACTTGGGTTTGCTCTTGGGTAGAGTGTGATCTGTGGCCGAGGGGAGACCTGGGAAAATCTCTGACTCGCGCCTTTAGCCTACCGGTCCCAAGGAAGGTATCGCTGGGGTGTGCAAAATTCTGGGCACCCCAACTTCAGCGATTATTTTATTGAAATTTGTTCTAATTTCCAGTGGCGAAAAATTCTAGAAAAATTTGGATATTTGTACTTTCTTTTTCCCCTCGCTGTTGGTCCTTGCATCCTCTACTTCCAAGACAGTACGGCGGGCGGTGGCAACGGCTTCGGCGGGGGGAGTGGCAGGTCTGGAAGGGGGAGAGGCAAAACGGCAGCAGACACAGGAAAAGGAAAAGTTGCAATCACCTCCACTTAAACCCCCCCCACCCCCCCCCCCACCCCCCCCGAAAACACAGATGCCTTTCACAAGTTTCTCCGCGGATTGGGGCACCTCTCAGCGAGCGCACTCCAACGCCATCTTCAAAAAAAAATAAAAAAAAATCCTGGGACGTTTTTTGGCCCGTTTGGTTTTGCCGGACACCCCCCCCCCGTCCGTCTGGACCGGGCGTTATCATAACCCAGGAAAAAAATAAGGGATGCTGCCTAGGGTACTCTACATCAGGGGGAAAATTAGTAAATAAGTGTAATGAATGAAAATGGTTCGCCCTTGAAAAAGTGTTTGCCCCAAACCAAGTGCATATTTCAATGAAAGTCGATGTGACCCAAAATGAGTCACGTCTCAGGCTGGGCACCCCGGTTACCCCCCGGTAGGAGCGACGTTTTTCTGACATTTCAGGTTGGCCTTGGGGGGGAGGGGAAAGGGTCGGTTCGTAACTCTGTACAAAGGAGCTCAGATGAACTGGTGGTTTAATGGATCGGCTATTCAAAGGGCCACATGATAATTTAATGATCACAACTGACCATTGGGCCTACAATTAGCAGCAAGGAGCTCTAAACTGACATGCTCAAAATTCTTGTACAATGCCGCTGACCCCCCCCCCCCTCCTCCCCTCCCACCTCCCTGCCGCACCTCGACCGTGTTGGTTTACTCGTAAAGTGAAGCAAAAAGTGGGGGTAGGAAGAGGTGGAGAGGGGGAAATGGGGGCACGGATTGAAAGCAGCTACAACCCTCAAAAAATTGAACTCGTTCTCTGCTTATCGATTGCTGCACTTGCATACCGTTCAAGACCGGATCTCATTACCTGCTTATCAACAGCTGTGTTTGTGTACTGTTCACAATATGAAATCATGTGTCACATGCGCGATTTGAGTACGTGACCTGCTTATCAAGAGCCACATGTGTGTACCTGTAAGACTTGAACTCACCGGATCTCTCCCAAAACAACCTACCATTATGAGAGTGTAGTGTTGACGATATGAAATAGTGTGTGTTGCATTCATGATTTGAATTCATGACCTGTTTATTAAGAGCTACGTGTGTGTACCTGTAAGACTTGGGGTCTCGCTCCACTACTGTCCACTGTACAATTTTTCGGACAGTTGGTGGACAGTTGTCAGAGCGAAAAATTGTACAGCGGACAGTGAAAAATCTGACATCGCTCCACTTACTGTCCGATGTCCACCTCTCAAATTCGTGGCTTCACTACCAGACACAGTGATAGCACTACAAGACAGGACGTCCATAGGGTTTTGTCCGCCCAAACTCCAGGTGCACTCTCCAAATTCGGGTCCTCAGGGTGAGTCCCTTGAAGGACTTTCCACGTAACGAATTTTGCAGGCTGGGAGCTGTACATTCATGGACAGTAGATTTTCGACGGGGTTTCTAAAAACTGTCCAAGCCATTTTGCACATGTACAGTGGACAGTAAATGGAGCGAAGTACGACTGTCCGTTTTTGTACAGTGGACAGTAGTGGAGCGAGACCCTTGAACTCACCGGATCTCTCCCCAAACAACCTACGATTATGAGCTTAAGACTTCAACTCACCGGATCTCTCCCAAAACAACCTAAGATTATGAGCATTGAGCATCTATTGTTCCGGATATGAAATCATGTCTGGCGCGCATGTTTTGAACTCGTGACCTGTTTATCAAGAGCTACATGTGTGTAGCTGTAGGGCGTGAACTCGCCAGATCTCTCCCAAAACAACCTACGTTACGAGTTTAGAGGTGAGAGATTAGAGAAGGGTTAGCAAAATGCTATTGAGGGGGGGTCTGTAGAGGATACTGCAGAGCTGTCGAGGGATCAACCTCCTGATGAGTCGGTGAAATTCCGACGAAACAGTCCGCGGCACAGCTCAGAGACGGTAGCCACTGCCTTTTTTCCGAATAGGGGATGATGTCATTGCTTTGTTGAAGCTGATCTAAAGAGCATTATGATAACCGTGCCGTCTATTCAAGGGATGGCGCTGTGCAGCGCATTTGTAATTTTGTATGCACGCTTCTCTTTCTGTTGGTCGCTACGGTTGAGTTTTAGAACTGAATCAAGTTATTGTTGGTGAGACAGCGTTATGATGACCGTGCCGTCTATTCAAGGGATGGCGCTTCGCACCGGATTTGTAATTTTGTACGTACGCTTCTCTTTCTGTTGGTCGCCACAATTGAGTTTTAGAACTGAATTAAATTATTGTTGGCGAGACAAGTTGGGAATGACTGTCGTTCTGCTCCGAGCAAAGAATCAAATGTGTGGCATTCTCTTGAAATGTAGGTGTTTGATGCTCAAGTATTCAAGTAGTTAAGTAGCCAACCGCTTCTTGCTGTGCAAGCAGCAGAGGGCAAACCGTCACCTCAGAATCTGGCCTAACATATGGGCAGAGAGCAGGGCAATCTGAGGTACTTTGCACGCCGCCGCTCTCGTGAAGGATGTGAGGACGCAAGTTGATACCAGGAGATTTGAGCTGTGACCGGCAGATTGTTGATCCACGAGACGAAACTGAGAAAAGGGCAGCCTATGTGGAAGTCACTGAAAGCATCAATCTCTTTCTTGTTGTGTTTGTTTTTTCAAAAGCGTTACGGCCTTGAGATGTGATCTTTGAACTTACCTGCCCGAGGTCAATTCAGAGTTGCATCTGGATTCGAACTTGGGTCTTTGTTTCAACAGTTCTTGGGTTTACCAACTGAAAGCAATCTGTTCGATCCCTTTGTCTTGTCATTTTGGTGTCGTCGTTGTGTGTATCGCGGATGATTGCACATGATTCAGAATCGCATCTGGACTCGAACTCGGATCGCATTTGTTTCGACTTTCAACATTTCTTGGGTGTGCCAACGGAAAGCAATCCGTTCCTCGTTTAATTTTTTTTCCTGTCATTATTTGGCTGTCTTTATTGTGCATGTGGCCAGATAATCGCACACAATTCGCAGGTGATTTCGTCATCTTCCCAAGAGTTCTCTCCTAGCGCCCGTAGTTTCGTTGCTGCTGCCAACTTAGGTCCGTTTGCGTCGTGCTTGGGAGGAGGGGAGACTCAGCAGCCTTTGGCTCCCTGTGACGAAAGCGTGACAGCCCTGATTCGCCGAATGACACTGCCATTTCTGCGGAGGTGCGCGTTATTGCAGCAGCTACTGTTTGGAGATGTTTCTGCGTTTTCCGACGTTGTGTCATCGCCCATGTCGATGAACGCTGTTGAGAATACCGTTGGAGGGCTGGGTTCCCGATCAGCGTTCGGTGTCTCTGATGAAGGGGGCCAAGGAGCCAGTCATGCGGGGCCATCGGGTGGTGAAAGCAGTTCGTCGGGCACATCGTCCATGGAAAGTAAGGTGAGGTGGGTAGACAATGCTCAACAGCTTGGGGCATTGTCTAGACCGTCTTCCAGTGGAGAGGCATCATGTAGTGGAACTGCAGAGCGTATGGGCAGGTACGACCTGGCCGCAGAAATGGAGGAGATATCCATTCTGGAACGGGAGTTCGGTTTGCCTGACATTAGCAGTGTGCTTGGAGACGACACGGCTAGGGTAGTGGTACGGCGATGGTGTCGACATGTCGCCGGCATTGCTCCCGACTTTCCTGGTAGAAGCATCGACTATATCCCAAGGCCAACTTTGTCGTTGCCGTTCCGGCTAATGCCTTTGCCGAGTGTGTATGAAGTGCTTTTCCGGAGGTGAGCATTATGAATTTACGAGTTTGTTAAACCAAAAGACTGCAACTTCCACTAATGGTTAATTACTTAATAGGTGGTGTCATTTTGGGCGAATTTTTCACTGATGTCATTCTGGGTGAAGCTGCCATATTTCCCCGAATTTTTGCTTTTTTTTCTTTTTTTTTCTTTTTTTTGTGGTGATGTGAGAGAGAGAAAGAGAGAGAGAAGTGTGGGCTGAGCACACCTTGAGCAGCTTACCTGTATTTTTCACAGGCGTGCCAGACCAGTCTGGAGGCCAAAAAAAAAAAAAAAAAAAAACTTACCTGTATTTTTCACAGGCCTGCCAGACCAGTCTGGAGGCCAAAAAAAAAAATCTTCTGTCCATAGGTTAAACCACCAGCTCACACACATGATCCTTAGTTGATGAAGCTATTACCTTCCAACACTCACAAGCCTGCGACTGTGGCTTTTCAAAGTGGCCTGCAGCTTTCACTACTGGCCCAGGCCCGACCTCGCTTAGGTTCGTGTGAACTGGTGTGGTTTAAACCGCCACTACACGACCCTAGCCTTGTAGAAAATTCCGAGTTGGGAATTTGGAAACTTTTGCGGCTGAGGGCGGCTGAACCGCAATGGCTGGCAGCGCCAGCCAAAAACGAAGAAAAAAGTGTGCTGCTGGCTGCGTTCGGCAAAGCTGGGCGCGCAGTGCAGCGCCCTCCGTCCTGGGTGTACAGGTGGTTTACCATTGGAACCATGCAGATGCATTGAGCCACACTGCTCGTCACCTTGAGCACACTCTGCTCCGAACACTATGAAGCATAGTTGCGGCGCACCAGTGCGCAGTGCGGGGCGGGGCGGGGCGGGGCGCACTGCGCTGTGCGGTGGAACTACAGCGCGCTCACTGTGCGCCGTGCG